GCCCCGTGAAGAAGAAGAAAGAAAGAAGAAGAAAGTCGAAAGTGCAGCGGGAGAGGACTGAAGCAGGTAACAGGCTGTAGGATTTCATTTCACTGTGGTTGACAATTCTCCACGGAAAAATGGACATGAGTTGCTCTTTGAGTACCTTACCCAATTTACCTGATTTGGTTTTCCTTTGCTTAATATGTTCCCAAAGTAGTTCTTATTTTTTAGTGGAAAGCCCAATATTGCAAACTTTGAGGATTAATTTAGTGTAAGGGGAGGAGGGAAATATGTCACCTCAGTCTTGTTGCCTCCATACAACAAGGAAATGTTTGGCTTTTGCACTTGGATTTAGGAAAAAAGAGGAGCTTGCAAGTTGTTGCTTAAGTCCTACATTGTAAAATGTTGCCTGCATCCCTTTTGTGTAACACATTCTGACCTGTGGCTCTGCATTCCTGGTATCCACATTCCAGGTTCTGAAGAAGACGTGGAACAACAGGAAAATGGAAACAATGTTAAAAGTAAGTCTTCTAAAAGGAAGACGACAGATGAGGAAACAGAAGGAGACGAAACAGGGAAGAAAGAGAAGAGTGAAAGAACTAAAGAAAATCAGAGCACAAAGGAGGAGCTTTCCTTAGCAGCCTCTGAGGAAGAGGCAAATTATCCACCCTCCAGTTTGACAATTCTTGGAGACTACGACAGAAAGCCAGTGCAGAAGGTACATGAGCTTGATGGGATTGTGACGGTGGTCAGGAGGGAACATGCATCTTACAGGTTTATTTTACGTATGGCATTGCCATATTCTCCTTTCCCTCTCCTCAGGTTCAGCCCTTTTTGCCACAGTGGCTTGCTCAACCCAAACGAGTGCAGAAACGTATCAAAGATAATCTGTGCCCAATCAGAGATGTCCCAGGAATCCATCCCCGCCTGCTGAAAAAGCTGCAGATGAATGGGATAGAGTCCTTTTTTCCAGGTACTTTGACAGTGCTTTTGTTCCTTTCTGAACTGATTTGCTGAGTTCCTGCAGTCTGGTGCTGAGTATTTTGTGTAGTCAGTGAAGTAAAACATGGGACAAAGCCAAGTTTAATGCATGTAAGTGATTGCATCAGCTTTAACACTTCATTTTCAAAGCTTTATCTAAGCTGAGTAAAAGTCTATTATCTACTCATAGATAAAGCTTGAAGTAATGGCTCAGAGCTGCCCAAAGAGGGAAGTCTTACTTGTGTCCTCACATTTTTCCTCCTTATGCCAAGCATGTGTTTTAGCTCCTTACTTTTCCACCATGTCTGCTACTGATCACAGCTCTCTGGGAACTCGTTCAACTCAATAAAGTACCAGAAAAACATTCAAACAAAAAAAATAATTGTTGATTTTCCATTATTTTACTGGTTTTGCAAACAAGTACAATAAATGCCAGCTCTTAAATAAGAAAGCACAGCTGGAAGCAAGGATGAGGGTAGGAGGGTGACCTTCAGTCAACTGCTTGGTCCAGCTGAGCCTGGAGGCCTAGGCTGTGTCAGAGGCCTGTCAGGGTTGTGTTGGGAAGCCAGCATGTGTCTTCTCACTTAAACAATGCTTTCATATAACATTTTAAGGGTATGAGCGAGGTCATTAACGGTGTACTTTGTGTTTGTTTCTGGTTTTGCTCAGTTCAGGCAGAGGTGATTCCTGCCATTCTCCAGAGTGCCTCCAATGGGTACCTGATGGGGCGGGGGGGATACTGCCCCAAGGACATCTGTGTCTCAGCACCCACGGGCAGTGGGAAAACCCTGGCGTTCGTCATACCCATTGTCCAGGTGAGTTCACCCCAGGGAAGTATCTGCAGGGAAATTGCTGGGGTTGCTTTTGTTCAAGCGAAACCGCAGCTCAGAAGTATGTTAAAAAGCCAAGGAATTCGTGGACATAAGGCAGCAGGATTTTTAGCTCAGAGCTGTCTGAGGGAGCCTCATGTCAGCATCCCACTCCTTTCCTCAGACAGGAGGCACAGCATGAGGAGTTGGGAAGGTGGAGGGAGAAAAAGGGAAACATAAAACTCTGAGGATGTGTCAAGCCCACCTCTTCTAACTAGGTTAGGTACAAGAACCCCATTCTCTCCCCACTGCTTTCAGGCACTCATTTGGCCTTTGTTTTGGCAGGTTCTGTTAGATCGAGTGGTTTGCCACGTGCGAGCTCTGGTTGTTCTGCCCACCAAAGAACTGGCACAACAGGTATGTGGCTCTTCACTGTCTCTCTGAGCAGAACTGGGCCGAGGGACAGGCTGGTGCAGCCAGTTCTTTGGCTGTTCTGTGAAGCCTGTGGAAGAGCCATCAGTGGGTTTGATGTTGTTACTGTAATGGCAAGTGTTTCTCTGGCAGCTGACAAAGCTCATCTCTTTGCAGGTGAGTAAAGTGTTCAACGTTTACACTGATGGGACAGGTCTGAAGGTCGTTTTGATTACTGGCCAGAAATCTTTTGCAAAGGAGCAGGAGATGCTTGTCCAGAAAAAGTAGGTTAAAAGGTATTTTGATAAGGTTTATAGAGATTGTAAACTAATTAATCTCATGGTACAGGGTTCAAAACACAGGCTATTGCAGCACACCATCATGCTATCACAATTTTGGATAGTTGGTTTATGTGCTGGACACTGGTGTTTCTGTCATTGTCATAGTGCCTGCTACTGCCCCTTTTTTGTGACTGTTGTTTTACTAGATTTTTGGGAATCTTCACCAGCTGAATAAAATGCAAATGTTTACCTTATGCCCACAGGTACAAGTGACTGTGTGGGATTCTGCTGCAATTAAGCTTTTTTTAAGAGCAATGGAGAACGACACTTTCTGTTTAAAATGAGGCAGTTCAGTGCAGACTGGGGTCTGGTGTCCAGCACTGCCTCCACGTGCTCTCCCAACTCAAGTGCATATTTGAATTTTATGGTTTCTCAGTTAATTGAGTGATAGGAAAACCTTAAGGTCTGCTGACCAAGGATCTCTTCTATGTGCTTTGTGGTGAAGAGAGACACTTACTCGTGGGCTGCTTGTCCTTTCAGAGTGACGGGTTACTGCAGCCTGGCTGACATTGTTGTGGCCACGCCAGGGCGGCTCACAGACCACATCAGGCAGACCCCGGGCTTCAGCCTGACACAGCTTCGCTTCCTGGTGAGTTGGCTCCATGGCTCTCCCATCTGAGGGCATTGCCTGTTACAGCTGTAATTCCTGCTTTCTTCTTGCATGGAACATAAACACATCTCCGTTGGAACTGTTGTGTGGGCCTGTCTATGCTCCAGATTCCAAAGGCAGCAGTCACAGGATCAGATGTTTTATTCCAGCTCGTGACACCCAAGCATCCACCCACTTCCCCTTCTCTCTTGGCCTTTTGCAAACTCAGAGTAAGGAGGGGCAGAGAAAGCAATTCTACTGACTAGAAGCTTCCCTTATCTTAC